ATACCTACACATCTCGAACGTGAGTGGAACAACAACCCTATTAATATAATTAATTGGTGTATATGAAGATTAAAATTGACGAATTTTGTCTGTGTTTAAGTTCATTTTAATTCTTTCCTTGTTTCCAGAGAACTGTTATTGTTTCGCAAAGTCAGTTACGAGAGTTACATGGTGCCACTGGTAGGAATGATATTTAATCTTAAACGACGGTGTTAAAAGAATACGTGTCTAGAACATATCTGGTGGTGGTATCGGTTTTTATTTTCATTCTAAATTGAATGGCGCGATGGTACTTGTCTCTAATTCGAGCAAATTACATTAATTTAGGTTGGGGGTTGTTTACCTCGTCGCCGACATCACCCAGGGGTTCACTCTCGAAGCCACGTCAATATCAGCGAGAATGAACACGTTTTATTACACTTAAAATTATAATAAAAAAGTTATAATTTAATTTCAACTTATGTGGGAGGATTATTAACATCTCGAACAGGGACGATGTTTAGGTTCCCTGTCTTAAAGAATCGAGCATGGACGTGGGCATCTCCCGTGGATGGTAGGTTGAAAGTTTTGGTAGCAGACGACGTGTTATGTTGAATTAAGTTAGCAATTGATACCCCCCCCCCCGCACGCCCACCCATGTTTTAGATTGTGCCCACATACGAGATATGCTGGGGAAGTCTCACTGAGGGGAGTTCCGATACCAAACAAACGAGTATGAAAAAAGGCATGGCGACGATTGGTTAAAAAGAGTAACAAGCATAATACGACCAACTTTCAAGACCAGTTATGCAAGTAAAATGTGAACCTGCCGATCGTGCCGACTGCCTCTCCTTGCCTGCATGCCTGTCTACATGTCAGTCAATACCAACGGGTTCTATAGCTTTTGTACGCATTTATTAAGCGTCCTGGTTTAATAAACCGGCCAGTAATGGCAGGGGAGGGGAACACAGATCTAACACGTACCAAAGTTTCGGCGCTTCCATTCTCTGGACTTTCTCACAGTTTCTTTACAAGTGATCGGTTGTTTTGTTTTCACTGTGTATGCGCACCTTTTCATAAGAGGGTTGAAATCAGGGCCTCTCGTTACGCTTCGCTTCGCTTCACAAGAATTCAACGAATCAGTGGCCACTGGGTGGACAACAAATCCAGTCCGCTCATCAAACTTGATTAGGTGTTCATAAAGGCAACCAAAAACAGTTCGACCAGCACAATATTAAAATAAAATGTGTACATCTTCGCAACCATAATTTATACGAGGATAAAAACAACAACAAAAACACACGAGCATTCCACTACTCACTCGCCGCTCTGGGTTGTAATTTTCCCTTCACTTTGAATCACTAATGCAAACATAAGATGTTTTCGTTTGCTATTTACCTCAAGGTTTCGATGACTCGTTCACTTACTCCCAAGTGGTCGCCATCTTGTTTGTGGCAATCTGCGCCAATACGGAGATTCCAATCTGGTAAACGAACCCCTTTACCTTAATGTCCTCCCTCTTGAGTATAGCAGTCAAATAAACTTGTCCTCACCGCCCAGTCCTCCAATTTTGTCTGTAGATGAGCAATATGCGCCCACAGTCCCGTATCGGACCGGGGACTGGGCTAGGTGCCGGATCCTCGTTTGAGAGTCGTCGACACAAAGCACGAATCATGATCGCCAAGACTTTAAACAAACTAGGGACGGAGACGTTTGGAAACACTTCCTACAAACTGCGTGAACGTTAATCAACTGACAAACAAAAAGAAACACCAAAGAAATGTTGTTGCTGGCAGCCCTTTCGAACGATGGCAAATTCAGAAGTGAAAAAAGAACACAATGTGGCGCGTGTTCCAGCGGTTGAAAGCAACCAAAAACACTATTGAGTGGAGGATTTCCATAAAAATGCGCCTTTCTCAGAGCACAATATAAACTGGTCATAGAAAGTGTAACAATTCTCCACACACTATAGAAATTAACGATGATACAAAAAGAAATACTTGTGTACCAAGAAAAGTTTCGGTGTATAGCTTAATTGGGCGGTACGACGACGGTGCCGGGCTGTGTTTAAATACGGTGAAATTACACGTTTTTTTTTTATTCTTGATTAACTAGCTTTCTTGCCAGCGCCAATAACAACCACCTGGTTTGACAAAAAAAAAACCTTTATTATTGCTTTATTTTTTAAGCTACGTTTTTTTTTTTTGCTGAAATACCAATCTAAGCAATGGGGTGAAAAAACACGTCCCGTCTTAGCCAATTAAGTTTACTAATTAACAAATCGGCACATAGGCCTTGAATGCGCAACGATAGTGTTTTTCCAAGTATCCAAGCCAAACGACACTTTACTTATTTGTTTACGACGAAAGCAAGAGGAAAGTCATAGTAGAAAAAAGTAAATATAATAGTAATCCGTGAATATACAATTATAAAAACATAATATCGCTGAAGGCTAGTTTCAGGAAACTCATTTGAAATAGTTTAGTAACTTTCACGTAACTTTGGCGATAATTTGCGAATGCGCGTTATAAGAGTGGGTCGCTCCCGGTGGTTGCCATCAATGCAATTAGAAATAGGCAGGTCGTACTGCTGGCGACCATAATTTGTGTTTCTCGGGCGAGATTGACAGCACATTTTCATTGTTGTATATAATTTGATAATAGGAGAATTCAAACGAATATAAATCGCTGTTCTCTCCCAGTGCGTTGCTACCAGGGTCACGTGAAACAAGGCAGGGGAAAAACATGATTTTAGTCCGTCCACGTGGGGGATGGGGATAAAGCATCACGTTTTTGACATAATGTAGTGCCTAATTTTTTCCCCCTTTCATTCTAGAAATATGGCATGGAATGTCGCGTTACGGGTGGTTGTTGGACAACTTGCCCAATAGGTGCCACCATTCATAGTTTTCAGTCTGCACCCTGGGTGTTCATGTTGCTACTAGCCACGCAGTGGGGGTCTGTCCGCTAATAAGACAGCGTTGCATTCAACAGAACAACAATACTCCTCCCTGATAAAGGCGTCCCCGGCCATTAGCACTCCACGAACTGTTGGCCAGTTTCGCTTAGTCTGTTTTCACCAAAAACTAAAACCTCCCAGCTCAGTTAGGAAACGATTCAATAACAACAGTGTTTATATGTGTTGATGCGATGGGGACACAACCTGTTATCAGCATCTCTTGCTGTGACAAGTTGCTGCCGGAAAACTAAACAAGCCTATTTAAAGTGAAATCAACACCTTTTCTTCAATTTTTTTTACAGATATGATTATAGATGCGCGATGAACGTGTTCTGGAGTATTGATTTAAACTCACACACGTACTCGTACATTGCAAAGTTCCGAGCAAATAACGCCGCTGACACCAATAACGTCGTATTTCGTCCATATTAAAATTCCCTTGGGCTATTTAACTGCGGGGAAAATAAAGCTTTGGCAATTAGATGATACATTTCTACGTCTCTCCTCTCTCTCGCTAAAAAAACCCCGAATTAATTAAATAACACGACAAGGGGACGGTTAGATGGACAGCCGGTCGACTTTTACATTAAAATAACCATCTTGAGAGCAAGCATTAATTTGAAAGTTTTGTATCCGAGATGTACTAAAAACAAGCTCATATGAACGGGTTATGTACTGTCAATTCGATAAAAAATACATGCTATCATCAGCGATGCGAGGAGAGGGAGCATGGACAAGGGCAGTCATTATGGAAAGAAGGGGGGTGTTGTGTTGTGTGGTGATTGGTATTGAAGGGTCATGCAAAATATTGACCGGGTGGGTGATATTGCATACGTACGCATTCCAATCTTTTGACGCTACTAAACAAAACTGTCGGCATTTCGTCTGGTTTCAAAGTGTAGTAAACAACAAAAGCACGCCAGTCAACGTTTTTCTTAATCATAATGGTATATCGAGTTTTTTTTTGGAATATATAAAAATAAAAGCAGGAATGATACGTGTGCACGCCACCGCGATAGGTAATCTGAATCATGACGTAACAAGGTAAATACCATGCTGGAGGGGGGTTTGATCACGTGATAAACAAATGACATGCAAGACTTCTAATGATGCTTTTACATAATAATAACAAGGTAAGTTTACTTCGAACGTTCAACAAATATAGTACAAATCAGTTGGTGCACGAATGTGTCAGCCTGTCAGAGTTAAATGAGTTTAATAAATTTTCAGAGAAAATTGTCGTTTAAGGTTTTTGTATTCCAACGTTCTAAAAATGAACGTTGACAGGCATCTTTAATAAAAAAAACAAAAATATATATTCAATAAAAATGCAATTCTCGCTCCTCTCTTGAGAAATATATCAAATAAAAGGTACTTTTGTTAGATTTTGTTTAAAAATTCTAAAATATGATAGACCGACTAAAATAAATGAATTTGCTGTACCAGATCAGGAGCTTATGGGCTTTAAAAAAACATCACCTTGACAATAAAAAAGGTAAACGCCCAATAAAAGGCAAGTCTAGAAATTCAAGGCACTACAAAAATAACCACGACTTTGAATATAAAAAAAATAGCAATGCAACTATGTACAAGTATGTGTGGCCCAAATGGTAAAATCAGGATTGACCAATTCGGCTGAAAGTCACGTGTTAAAAACGTTCTAATCTGTACACAATTAACCCTTCGAGCGCCATTTTGTTTTTCACCAAAATGTGGGTGAATCATTTGACATATTTTATGTATATTTACAAAATCTTTGTTAATTTTGGAACAGATAGACAAAATTTCTCATTAGCCGAAGGTCTAAATTGTTTTACGAACTTTCGAAAATTTCAAGCGGGTTTAATTAGTGAAAGATGACAATATACAATGGCAGTCGAAGGGTTATCATATTAAGGCTAAATATTATACAAAATTACTGCGTGAGCGTACGTCTGTAGCTAGAAAAACTAATTGTGGGCCGCAATAGTTTTAAATATGATTCTGAAAACACACACACACCGAACACAACCCTGTGACCTATAGTTCGGCCATTTTAACCTTTTGAACGCCGCCATTTCCCCGTCATTTTACACATTGTTATGTATATTTTGTTAATTTTAGACAAAAACTTCCGTTAATATCTACAAATATTGCTCATTTACAAAATATATGCAGGTTTATTTTGCGAAAAAGTAACAAAAGTAAACTTTTGCGTTCAAAGGGTTAACACGTAGTGTAAACAACTGCATACATTTATATACGCTCTCATCCAGGGGGCTTGACTGTTCGTTCATCCTCATACTGTGTGTCCCTTCATTTTAATTCGTGGTCGTAGTGAGAGACACCTGCAGAAAACAATATAATTATCATGATCAATATTAAATGCGCGAAAAATTGTCAACGAAAAAAAAAACAAGGTTGGCCATCACGTAAATTAAAATGAATAAAGAAACAGCCGATGATATCCAAGCCTATTACCAAAATTAAAACCGATGATGGATGATAAATAACAAAATATAAAATAAAATATTTATCCAATATTCAGTTGGGAGAAGGGACGTGGTCGGTCTTATAACCGGGTAATGGGGGCATAATAAAACATTATGTTGGTTCTTCCAATAATAGCGGCTTCTATGATCGTACCGACCAACTTCCCTTTGAATCCTAGGATAAGGACCGATCTCACATCGCATATCTAACAGGTGGGAAATGCTTTTAAGGTCTCTAGTTTCTAACGAAAACAAAGATACACATACGGGGAGAAAAAAATACCCCTCCCCTTTCTCGTAAAAAAAATGTGCACATGCATAACGTTCAACATGAAGTGCTAAGTTCAGGGGGAGCGAATGCAAATGATGAAAGCAAAGAGGGTTGGTGATCATGAGGATGATAATAATATGATTAAAAGTGGAGTTCCACGAGAACTTGAAGTGAGTGAATGAATAAGAAGATATTTGAGTTTACTCTTAAACCACTTTAGCTTTTTAAATGAATATTATTGGAGTGGAGTGCGATGATAGTAGAGGCGAAGAGAGAGAGAGAGAAAGAAACCAGTGGCTATTCTACTATACGATAATGATTTGTGTTTACAAAAGGGTATTGGGGACACTATCCATTTTCCTATTTATCAGTTGTGTACAACGCGTCACTCCCATTGACTGCTACCTAATACTACTACCAATAGCTGCCGTACTGGTTGACTGTCTGCCTGTCTGTGCGATTTAGATCGTCAATATTGTGCCGTTACAACGGTCACTCCGAACGCCTAAACATTTAAAAGCAGTTTTAAAAGGTAGGAAGGTCGTAACTAAGCTAAGTAAACTAAAACACGTCTCGGTCTACAAACCTCAAACCCGAACGGAAATATACGAACTAAAAATAATATTGAAATTCCAACATTTGTTAACGAGCAACAGATCTATGCTCAAAACATACCATTCCCCTAGCATTTCTAATGTTTTCGAAATCACTCACTATACTCAGTTGCCGGGTCATTTCTTTCAATAATAGTTTCTTAGCGAAAAGTAGAGCAAGTATCACTTCACAGACTTCATCTGTTATGCAAACGAGGCAATCTTATGCTAATTAGGGTCAAGTTATTCACTGTTAAAAGTCCCGCGCTTGATGTGAAGATAGCTCCGGGTACCTCCGATAATCACTATTATAGAAAACTAAAAATCTCCATTAAAACTTCTAAAAATATTTGTTTTGTGAATTCTATATATCACTGGTTCGTCAATGCACAACAAAGACGGCCGACATTGATGACGGGGTCATGCGCACTGGCTATAGTTGGACCTAGTATGGATAACATCACTGCAGGGCAGGCAATGTTTTAAAAACATTAAACTAACACACGAGCTCACATGAACACGTTAAAATATGGTCAACCTGCACGGTTGCCCTGACCAATATGTTATATTTTAGGCTTGTCTTGAAAGGTCATGATGACAGCAACTCCACACACAAAATCTGGGGAACAAGATTATTATCCAATTTCGCACCAGGATAAATCAAGTCAATCGGAGCCCCGCTAAGAAAATGAAAGCCCAGGGTTCAAGTGTAAATGTTCCAGTCGGCAAACAATTGCAATTTGGACGTTAAAATCCCACTTATCATGGACAATGGAGCGAAAACACGCTAATTAGTGACGGGAACTGGAAGGAAAAATTCACCATTTTATCTACAAAATTACCTACACCGTTTCAGCGCTCACCAGGTGGTCAATTTTTCGCGCGTTGGGGATCCCTATGTGAAATGAGTAGTTTTTACATTCATTAAAAACAGCGATTTGTGGAACAGCTGATACCCAAGCCCCAGTCCCCCCCCCCCCCGCCGCCTCCTCCCAACATACACACATTGTACACTCACCTCACCGCTACGGCATTACTGAATTTTCGCATTTAAACTTGTGTATCTAGTAGTATACTTTAAAAATAAATACAAAAATAGAATCGTTATTAAAAATAAATACGTTCGGTATACGGTGCCTGTAGTAATATCGTTATGAATTCACGGTGCTATTTCCAACTCGTCAACTATTAAACAGTTTCTTTCATTCCTGGCATATGTTTTAGCTATACAACTAATCAAACTGGATATATTAACAGTGTTATCATTAATGCATGGACTATATACAAATATTCACTCCAGATAACTCAAATGTTTTAATGCGCGGAGAGACGCAGCTTCTGCGATGCATTTTAGTTTATTCTGTATTTTTGAAGAAAAAAAACACGCATAATTTGATAATGACCACGTGCTTTTGCGATATTATAGGCAAATAGCTTCGTTTTCTCGTTAACATAGTTTTCGTTAATAATTTAAGAATTTGCGTTGTAGAATTTCTCCATGTAACAAGGGTGAATTTTATATGTTATTAAATTTTTTTTTTTTGAGGTCAGTTTTAACACAGCCTGTCACGCAGAGCATGTTTAGGCTTGTTATTTACATTTCTAATATGCAAATTTCCACGTCGCTTGAGGAGCGTACAGGCTTCATGTGTTTTGAGGTCGACACGCTTTCTCACAGAAAGAAAATAACCCGATAAAGCAAGCCCGATCGAACATTTTTCGAGCTGTAGATTGCTAAACGCGGCAAAGGTTGTGGGCGATAAAATATCAAAGCTATGTTGCCCTATAAAGGGAGTTAGCCATATCAGTGATTATGAACTAAACTTGGCCCTAAATGCCGAGTGAATGTATTTTAATGGGCAATCCGTCGATTCGTCTACCTTTTATACATAGGCGCGAAATCATAAACTGCCCCAGGCTTAACTGACTCTGGTTATTATTTTTCTGCTCTTTTAGACTCAAAACTAGTCCCCGAGTCGATAAACTAGTTTCCTCCTAGAACATATTGTCACTGAGCGTTTCGCTCTCGTTACAAAGCTTCCGAGTAAAAATCCTGTTTTCGTTGGAGCCTTTAAAAAAAGAATTACGTGGGAATAAATTGGGTGTATTAATAAATATGCATAGTATAATGGCTGATGACACGGACCAAAAAGCCTCCATTCATTTCCTAGCCTCGTCAATTACGCGAGAGAAATGACTACCGCAAAATGTCGGCTGTGTTTATCAACACTAACAACGCAGCGATCGGCAATTTTCGATCATTATCGTGTTTTTTTTCGAGTTGACACAAAGACGCATGGGGAGGTCGAAGTCCACAAAATTCGTAGACACATATATATATATATATATACCTATATACCATAACACAAGGAGTGGGGTACTCGCACGATAGAGTGTAACACACACAAACCGATAGCCAGCGAAGTACGTTGTTAACAATGACGGAATAAAAGACCTCTGCCACAATGAGCTGAGCTTTTGTCTCCGACGCTCACCAAACCAGGGAGGTTTCAGCAGGAATAACCAAGCGTGACTTGGTCTAATACTTTTTTAAGCATGCGTATGATATGCTGGAAGATCATTCACTGGCGGGACGGTGGAATTCCCGAAAAAAACAACAACAACCGAAACACGACGTTGGACATAGACTCGACTACTATACAAAGGGGAACGGAAATTACAACGGGTCGGGATCCCCGACTCTAACTAACGAAGTTAGGTGTGATGGAAAACAGCAAATGGTAGCTCATGTGATCACCATGCCAGTCATAATTAAATGGACAAATACTACAAACTACAGGTCGTAGTATTTTTGACAGTTTCGATGATAGCTACGCGATTTATCGTAGATGAGACTTTCAATTAACACGTTTTTTAATGTTTGAAACGTGCGTCATTGCCTCGGCTCGGCACAGATAGGGAGTACCACACGCTATTTGGCGGTTGTCTGTCAATAACACGGGCTGGAACTAATACCTGTCCTAGTTCGGTCAACTTAGTGCAAACACTAGACTAAAGCTGTTGGGATTGTTTTCCACCATCGCGGCGATTAAATATAATTAAGTATGAAATTATTTCGCGTTACTTAATGTTGTTTAATGAGTGGAAATGCGTGGTCGAGAGTGTAGGGATTTAGAAAAGTATGTTAAGCTCGAAGCTAAAACTGTAAACAGCAGTGTAAAATGTGTGCAAAGATGAGAACACGCAGAATTACGCTACTCGAGGGTCGAAACCATTTTTTACACGTTGCCACAGACCGCATGGTACTGGCAGTTTCGACGATTAAAACGACAACAGCGTACATTTTACGGTGGGAACATATGCTGTTTAAGTGCGGGGGAATACGGTGGAATTTTCAAGCATTAAAACGAATTGGAATACACTGAAAGAAGGTCGTTAATCACAACTAAAATTTGGTTGACACGCCAAGACTACTCATTGGTTGTAGTAATCAGTCGTTGACAGTGGCAGAGCGTACAGTGAACTCGGACGATCAACAGGTAGTTGGTCGATGGCTCCACATGACGGAGGGAATTATGAGCTTACTCTTAACCAGGACTCGTCATGAATTATTATTTGGGATTCCAGCGTTAACACTGTCCAGCAGTCGCATAATCATACTAACAAATATGGCGGGCGTTTGTTGATCGACACCACCAGTTTGTGTCAGTACCAAGGCCGAGCCCCGGTGACCGCGTTGGTACAACAAACCGGGTGTCTCCTTGCATGAACAGCGGAGCCGAAATAAATGTACGTTTAGGCCGATAACCTAACAGTACTACACTTATGTTAGGACCAGAAACACGACAAACTAGAAAATTACGTGCGTCGGTGTTACAAGTTTAAATAAAAGGTTGCTAACCCGTCCTAACAACCCCCGCACCTTAAAGGAAAGGGAAGTCAGTCGATTGACGCAACTCGTAAAAATAAATGTATTTTGTTTAGGAGAAAGTGGTTTTGCTATTAAAATTCGAATCGCCGAACGAGCCCTGCCATTGCCCGAACCTATCTTGCCCTGTTGATACTTCGATAACCGTGCAGAAACAGTTTTATCACATTGTTTTGATTGGGAATTCCCCCTTATCACAATGCTCTATTAAAAGGAACAAATGAACTCACTTGCTCGAATGGGTTTGTGGTTTTTACTCGTATTATTTCATTAAAGATTTCACCATTTATCATGTTCAAATTTCGCATTTTAGACGAAACCCCAACTTGATCTGCTTCAAGAACGTCTCTGACGAGGGAAAGTGATAGAATCTTGAAGGGGAGGGACTTAATATAAATGACATGACCGTAGCCAATCAATGGGGCCGACAAGTTATCATCAAAATAGTGATGGACATTCCATCCGAACCACGATGTGCTTCTTTTTTTTTTTTTGTAAAAAAAAAAAATGGGATTTTCTGGCAAGCCTAAACTTTCACAACAGCCACGATGCGAATGAATACTATATGCACACACATTTAGTGGGTAGTGTGGTCAATCAAATTCAACCTAAATTATTGGGATAAAGTATTCATACTGAGAAGGGAATTGAGGCTACTTTATAGCCATTCGGGGCGGGAGAACATCAGTTGCGTGTCCACAAAAGACAGCTTTACACGAACTGATCTACAGAGGTTGGTAACAAGTTAGCAAATAGTTAACCTTGTTTTGCCAGGCGCGTTCACCGCCACTGTATATCAAGTCAGAGTAAAGCCCTCTGATATTCAGACTGCAAAGAATTGGAACAACAACAATTGCATATCCTTTGAAACTTTAATTTATTTATCTTTTCTTTTCCAAAACGAAACTCGTCAATCTGGCATAAGAACATTGGTTAGAACTGTGTGCATATATATATATACAAATACCGGCTTGTACAAAAGCCTAAAATATAAGACTTCAAAAAAATAAGATGACAAGTAAAGTGAATAGTCTAAGACAACTGAACAGCATTTGTAGGAAAATAACCTAACTCAAAGACATTTTTTCCACGTAAAAAGAAATATGGATGGTCCAAAGAAAACTTGCTATAAATTACTTAGAGCGAAATTGGAACATGACAAACTGGACTCAAAACTGTTTCTGCGCGGACTCAAAAGTATCAAACCGCGCGACGTTAAGTGGTGCGTAGGCAAAGTAGCTGTCAGAGTTTAAAACAAAAAAAATGAATTCTATACGAAACGTACATTTAAATAATAAAAAAACGGTCTCAACATCTTTTTTACAATAAGGACGAGTATGGTTCGCAAGATAAACATTTGTGACTGACTGCATCCTTTGGATTTTTCAATGTTTTGTTACAAAATATTCACCTGTGTTTTTTAAAGTACTTCTAATCTACAATAAGTTTTTCCTTCCTCGGGACTTTTACAAAAAATTATGTTCAACTTCGTGGCCGAAGTCAGTCGCTCGCTCGATCAAACAGAGCTATTAAAGTTATTTATACAACATACCCCAAGTTGTGATTTCGGGTACAAAGGTGAGCGGCAATGAATTGAGTGAAATAAGCAGGAGCTCCCTTGGTAAAAAAAACAGTCTATATAGAAAGGCATGTGACTTTTGACAAGTTTGAAAATAAAGTTATTACATATGCGTAAGGGGGACCGTACCGTTTACCCCGACTCCTGACGGATTCTGTGAATATTGTTCTTGGTGTGCCACCATGGCATTGCTGTGTTGACGAGCATTTGGGTCGTTGGCATCACCCGGTAGGTACATGGAAATCATTTCTCTCAAATCGCCCGGACAGCTCCTTCCTCGGTTCGCTGCTACTGCTGCCGCCGTCGCCGCACTCACCATTGGTTCTGATTTGGAGATTCCCACCGCTGCCGGAGACTGGTGCATTTGGTTGTGTTGTGTTGTGTAAGGTGCTGTCATAGTGTAACTCGTCGGCGGGTTGACATAGGAGCCGGCTGTACACATAGGTGTGTAAATTTGACTTGGCATGTCATAGCGCGGGTGAAGTCCGCCATTAGCCTGCGCCATTTGTGATTGAGCGCTAGCGAGGCTATGGGGTTGATATGTGTGCGCTGACAGTTGGTCTGGTTGCATCATTGGGTAGCCACCATTCATGTAACCATTGAGTGGATACTGCATACCATCGACGGCCCGTTGAACAGAGCCCCACCACCGGGTGAAATCATACCGGGGAGTCCATACTTATCTTTCTCATAAGTGTCTCGTCTTGCGTCTTGGTCGGTATTTGTAATCGGGGTGTTCCTTCATGTGTACGGCCCGAAGTCGCTTGGCCTCGTCGATAAATGGTCGCTTCTCAGCCTCCGACAGCAACTTCCATTCGGCCCCAAGTCGTTTACTAATCTCAGAGTTATGCATTTTGGGGTTCTCCTGCGCCATCTTACGTCGCTGTCCACGGGACCACACCATGAAGGCATTCATCGGACGTTTGACACGGTCAGGTCCCAGCATTTTGTTGGCGGAACTGGAGGTTGGAGTAGTCGGGTTCGAACTGCAAATCTGACCTGAGCCCATCATGGAAACCTGCTTCAAGTCCGTTTGTTCCATCATAGTATACAATTAATATATGTTGCTGCTACCACGTAGATAATGGTGTTGTAGAAGAGGTTGGAACAGCAGATAATGTTTGTTGTAAGAAGGCAGAGCGAGTCGAGCTAGCGTCTACTCCGACAGAAAGACTGGTTATTTTTGGGCTCGTTTGCCTATCACGTCCATGTGTTATTGATTGGCAGAGGCGATGGGGCAACCAATCAGCGACGAGTATGTTGACAGCTCTGATAGATTGTTATTTAGCTGTGTTAGCTAAATGACAGATGACGTAGCCAGGTGACAATTGGCGAGTTGCTAAGCCACGGGGGCGGGACTAGGCGTCACCATTTTACATTTTATTATCCCAGCAGCCAATCAAAACGCGAGTTGGCCAGTCAAAAGTGTCAATTACTGGATAATCACCCCAATGAAGGAAGCGAGCTGTCATTTCAATTCTGATTAAAAATACTTCCAGCTGCAGGTGTTTACCCGACGTGTTGTTTGACTGACATCCAGTCCACGTGCCAATCAACGGACACTAATGAAAAATAGCTGATTCTGCTTTGTGCAACCGTAGCCCGGGAGATGGGCTATGCAATTAAGCGTACTTCTAGCTGTCATCTCAGTCTACGTTAGAATGTGGAGGGGCAAAATGCAGATTTTTTTTAAAGTTTTTTTTTTTTTTTTTACCATCCTAGTACGCCTAACTCTATTCGAGGTTGTGTGTAAATAAAGCTAAAACAAAAAATAGGAAAAGATGGGTTCCGCTCGTTGCGTCAGAGATTGCATGCTGGAACATCTAAACTAATAGTATATAACGTGTCGCTCTGTCGTAGTAAAAAGTCGGGGCATGGACAGGGTCGCTATCTTATTCAGTGTGCAGAACATCGCAGAACAAACAGGACGGGTGAAATACGAGCAGGAACCGTACACAGCGAGACCCCGCCTTTACGGCGATTAGTATTCATTCCATATTCTCGCTTTTCAACACCTCAAATAAACCACCATTGCCTTGCTGAAAGAGCAGAAATGTTTGTATGAAATCCCCCCTCCAGAACGAAGTCCCTTAAAAAGAAGTAGAAAATTAGGTAACTAAAGACCAGTTATAGGGGTTGGAAACATTTTTGTCTAGGCCCGTCCTCCAATAATCGCCGCTATGTGCATAAGAACTTAATGTTTTATGCGACATATACAAAGCGTGGCAAATAATATTGTAATAAATTGTACATTATCGAGTACAGAGCATTCTACGTTGTATTGTCCTATAACTATCGGGCAGCAAATCTGTGTTGTTCACTACTGTTGTAATACATCAATACTCCGCAATACTATAATGGAAATCCGAGCACACAAGGATACATGTATTGTTTTAAACAGTCGCTCGTCACACAGAAGTCAATTCACGCGGGTGAAAAAAAACCTAAAGGACAACAATAACATAATAAAACTACCGTAGTATAAAAATCCACGCGCAGTCATAGTGCGTAGTTATTTTAGTTAGTCCCCGTGTTCGTGGGCTGCGGTAAGAGCTGGTGCATACAAACGACGATGTGATTGTTGGACTCTACGGCGGCTGCCGACCCGGTTTAGTTTAGATGCATTTCTACTTTAACTTATTCTGCTAGTATACACATATATGATAATATTTTTTTTTTCTTCAATATTATTTATTTATTTTCGGGCTGTATATATGTATGTATATATATATGTATATATTAGGGAGACTATTTTAGAAAACATTAAATGACCTGTATAGACTAGGTATCTTAATTCTTGGGAGGAAAAAAAAAACTGTCAAAAACACTTTTGTTTCCGCCCTGGGAATGGAGTTACGCGCGTCTTAGGAGTGTTAATGGCTTCCACCGAATTCATTAGCGCCGTGTTCACATTAGCAACCGACTCCGAGAAAAACGTGACAACAGCCCCCTCTTTGTTCTACTAGGGGTACATACAAAACAAAAATGAAACTCTTTTCTCGACGTTAATTAGATTTACCGTACAGGCCGTGTTAATGTTGTTTCCATATTCATAGGAACATTTTAGCGCGTCGAGCCCCGTCAGATTGACACTTGTACATTTCTTTGCATGAGTGAGTGGAAGAATGTCAAACATTTGGCAGCCTTGTGGACGCAGAGGGCAACGTTCACACTTGAACTTAAAAATAAACAATTTGTTTCCCCCATGTTCTCATGAACTTGGTGCACTTTTGCGAGTAGTTCATATCACATTTATACATTAATAAACGCAGCATTTTTTTTTCAGTGAGCCACCCCAGACCATATGAATATAATTGTCATGACTAAGTTTTCACACAATCTCAGTCACACAGCTTCAAAATAAATACACCACATTGTTAGCGCTATGCTTGCACAGGATTTACTATAAACGTTTTCAATGCCATCAAAGTTTGGACGAGGGATAAAATACACTTGAAATGGAGACCTGGTTAATCAGGCCCCGCCTTACTCTGGTAAAACTAATAAATGTGTTATTTCAGTGGGAATTATAGGTAGACCATAATTTTAATACAACTTCAAATTGCACGGGCGTTAAAGTTTCACCCAGTTGGGAAATATCGACACCAAAGTCCTCGTTCGCTTCAGTTCAGCTTCCCACAATTAAAAAAAAATAATACACAGTGTTGTTAATGTAGGTGGCGCCCCCCAACCGAGCAGAAGAACAATGTGTCATTACCTGGCCGCCGCGATTCAGCGTCAAAATACAAGAAATGCGACAACAGCGTTAATTAGCTGCCAAATATGAAAAAAGTGGACTCCACCTACTCCATAACCAGGGCATACACAGATTAGTGTAATCAATTCTCATCTGCAACGCAGATCAACAAACTGCAAACGATGAGAAAATCCCCTTGGCGTGGCGGGAAATTGCGTTAGTAATCATCCGCCCAGTCTGTGGAAATCACGGGGAAAATTAATAAACGACTTGTTTTAAGTGCACATCAGTCCCACGTGAGTTGTCGCGACAAGAACATGGTTTTTACCCGACACGTACACCTAAACCAAACCAAACCAGATCGATCGAGAGAGTGAAAACAGAGAAAGTGGGAATGGGAGATGAGATCTATGTTTAGAAAAGGTAGAAAGTGAGAGAGCGTGTCGGAATCGTTTCCTATTTGGATACTTTTACTGCACGCCATGATACACCATTAAACCAATGCGCATAGGCCGAACCTTGATTACCGCCAAGTATATCTGAAACATTCAGCACACAACTGCGATAACAGCACTAGTCGAATTTAATATATATATATATATATATATACATATATATATATATATATATATATATATATATATATATATATATATAAACACAATAATAAAACATTTAGAAGGCCATCATGGTGCCTTAACGTTCTCGCAGAGCGCTCCTCCACACCCAAGTAAGGACCACATCTACAATTGTTGTCCCGACCCCCAATCTGTAGGCGCTGAAAGGAATTTCCCAATGCTTAAGTTTTCGATTGAGTGATTTACTATAGGACTGATGGGCAAGCAAAGGATGGCATTATCCAAGCCGGAAAGTGAGACAAAACCTCCGTTATCAACGGGTCACCCCAAAAAGAATAGAGGTCCGCTATAATCGCCCGACAGAGAATACCTGACGGCTAGTTGTGAACCTTTGATGGAAAGTTTACGGACATACGTCTGGCTGTCATTCAATCATCTTATCCCGAATAGTTGGGGTCTATTTTTGTTTTCCAGTTTTATCCCAGTTCGTGCCAACCAGGCCAAGTTGTGTACATGCATGGTGTCACAGGCAAATATTCGACGCCAACGCAATATGCACCGCCAAGGGGGTAATAGATTTTCCCCCATTCTTTCCCCAGTGACCATTTTACCCATTGCTTTATCCGAGCTAACCAAGTTTCGAACATTTACACTAACGTCGCTATAAACTGACATCTAACAAACAACTCTCATGACGTCACCTACTTAATTTGACGAAAAATCTGCATATTGTCAAATGTTTTTCTTTTTCATTACCCTGCAAGCCAAACTTTTATTAGCTAGAGGCCATTCTTTGTGAAAAAACGCAAGGCAGTAAATATTTGGATGCGTAAATGAGGGCAAAAACAAACGGCAGTTTCAGAGTCCTTCGCACAATTCGGTGCCGACACGCCGAGCTGTTTTCAAATTGTCAAGGTCTGAGTGACCCCGGAGGGCACTGGATTTGCTAATCACCTGCCCCAATTAACGCGAAATCAACTACTCAAACTGAGGAAGGAAATGCTGGGTTTTAGTTTGAGAAAAAAAAACGATCTTGAACAAACGTTCCACACACACAAAAAAAGAGGCGTCTTGGCAAAGTCCCAAAATCTCGCCAGAAACTATGCAGGATGGAACTTTTTAACAGTTTGAACCTCGATTCATTGGCTGAAAATACGGAGAGAAACGTGTGGAGGCCGGGCACTGTGTACTGTGAAAACTGTTGCTGTACACAGACGCCGGCAATTGAGTGCCCCCAAAACAAACTAATCGGGTACAAGAGTAAACCGAACTTATTGTCAGCAGCATATCTCGGAATCTCGTAATCGGTTCTATATTGGATCCGATGTGCTTATGGTTAAAAAAGACAACAATCGCAAGCATGGCTATTTAAAAGTGTCCAGTGTTTGTACAGTGACTATAGCACACAATAACGTGATCACCAGTTATTGTGAAACTGAACTAGCATCGACATTGTGTTGTCGAGCAAAATCCCATAAACCAACAGCAAAACATCGGTTCAACATATTACCCACAATAGCTCCATATAATGTGGCGGGAAATCCTATCGTTCACTCACGTGACATGTATTTATAAAACGCGTCCAATGAATTCGCCAGACAGAATTATCACATATAAATACATTTATACCTTCTTTTTTTAAAATGACGTAATCGAATGGAGTTCACAGTCGGTGTGTGTTTTCGGGAGATTCGTTTTCATTGATTGTTTTATCTGTGCACAATACGGTTGATTTCTTTTTTAGAGAAACGTACGACTACAACAATCAATCACCCACTGGAAACAATACATGACTGAAAAATACGTCATATTTCTGAACTTTTTACACATTATACCCGCCAAAAATCGTACACGGAATATATACTAGTACTCATGATGTACGAACGATTTGGGCTAAG